ATCCCTCATACTCAACTCCCACACACATGCACCCCACCCCACTCACACCCCACACATCCCTCATGCTCAACTCCCACACACATGCACCCCACACATCGCTCATACTCAACTCCCACACACATGCACCCCACCCCACACATCCCTCACGCTCAACTCCCACACACACACCCCACCCCACACCCCACACCCCACACATCCCTCACGCTCAACTCCCACACACGCACCCCACCCCACTCACACCCCACACATCCCTCACGCTCAACTCCCACACATGCACCCCACACATTCCTCACACTCACACTCACACTCCCCCACACACACCCCACCCCATGCATACTGCCACACACACACACACACACACACCCTTCCCCCACGTATGTACCCCCCGACCAATACACACACACCCCACCCATGCACACTGCCACACACACACGCCCTTCCCCCATACATACACCCCCTCACCAATGCACACAAACCCCCACACACATACCTTCCCATGCACACACCTCCACCCCCACCCACACACACCCACCCACACCCACCCACACACCCCCACCCACCCACACGCACACACCCACACGCACACACCCACACGCACACACCCACACACACACACACACATATCCATACACACACACCTCCCCCACAGGTGCTCCCAACTCCCGACATACAAATTCTCCCACGCACACACACAAAAATCCAGTATCTAAGAAAGTGGGATCCTGGCCGGTGCAGACTCGATGGGCTGAAGGGCCTCTTCCCTTGCCATGAACTGCCTTACTTGAAGGAATGTGGCTGTGCGCTACTGATTCTTTACTTTTTTGATGCACAAATTTTAATGACAGTTATTAGCAATTCCACTTGCATAGTCAGTATCTAGGTTTGACTTTTTATGAGATTTTTAAGTAAGAAACCAACATGAAGATACAGCAGTTTCATGAAAATCACTAGGAAGTTAATAGTGGGATATTATTTGTGCAAGTTAACGGTGATTTGTAATTCACAGAGTATCTCTTCCTCATCACAATTTCATATTGATCTTCATCATTCACATGCAATTACTTTTGTAGCAAATTTTGGGTCAATACATCTTAGTACATTGCTGACAAGTAAAACACTCTGACAGTGTTCTGAAATGTATAATGCTGCAGTGAAATCCAAGTCATGATATTTCAGTTATTCCACCATTTATTGTGGGCAATGTAACATCACTTGTCTGTGTTCTCAGATTTAGTAAGATTTCCAGCAGAACAGATAACCTGCTCATTTACTGTCAATGTGTGTACTTTTATGGCTATAACAGCCTAGATTTAGCCATTGTAATCATGGTAAAATTGTTGATATTTTGCAAACTATGAAACTGACAGTAGCTTTTGTTATCTGCGTATGTGGAAAGCTAAAAGTTGCTGTCAGTGACTCTTTGTTCCTCTACAGTTTGAACTGTTGAAGACCCTGAAGATGCAAACATTAGGATTTAGAACTGACCTGCAATTTCAATTCTGTATCATTAATCCTGTAGTAAAAACTTGACAAAGTTATGCAATGTTGAATGATGTGTAACTATATTTACTGAAGTACTGAGATCATAAATACTTGTGAACAATCTGTTTGGCCCTGAAAAAAAAAATTATATTTGTGAAATACAAAATTTTCCATTAATACAAAAGTTTTCTTTTTTTTTTGATTTTGGAAACATGACTTTTTAACTTTTATAGTACTCTCATACATAGGTATGAATTCTTAACTTCCTATCTGTAATAATTCTTCATGCTGATTATCTGCTTAGAAGGACTGTTGTTGGATGCCAGAGATCCTCTATAAATTATCAAAAGAATCCCTACAGTGCAGAAGCAGGCCATTCAGCCCATCAAATCACATTAACCCTCTAAAGAGCATTCCACCCATGTACCATTCCCATGGCTAATCCACCTAACTTGTATGTCCCTAGATACTATTGTCAATTTAGCATGGCCAATCCACCTAACCTGCATATCTTTGGACTGTGGGAGGAAACCAGAGCACCCAGAGGGAACCCACGCAGATACAGTGAGAATGTGCAATGTCAACACAGTTGCCCGAGACTGGAATTGAACCCATGTCCCTGGTCCTGTGAGGCAGTTTTGCTAACCACTGAGTTGCATTGGACCAGAGCTACAGTAACATTGGGAAAGGGAAAAATCCATGTCACAGAGATGATGCACATTCATTAGTAACTTTCTTTGAGTTCAACAAGTGTGATTATTTCCCCTATGAGGACAAAATCTGGACCATTACCGAGTGTGTTCATAGAATACATGTGAGTTGTCATTGTCCATGAATAATATTATTTTAAACATGATTGTTTTATATCTTGGATACAGTAAACATTACAGAAAATTTTCAATAAAAACCAAAAGAACTGGGGATGCTGTAAATCAGAAACAAAAACAGAGGTTTTGGAAAATCTTAGCAGGTCTGGCAGCATTTGTGAAGAGAAATCAGAGAAAGGGTTCCGAAGATGGGTCACTGGACCTGAAATGTTAACTGATTTCAAAGGTGTTGCCAGACCTGCTGAGCTTTTCCAGTAACTTCTGTTTTTGGCACAGAAAATTCTTACATGTTCATTAAATTGAGATATGAAAATATCAGTCACTTCTGTACATGTTGGAAACTATGTCGTGTATTTCCAGGAGCCTTGATAGGCAAATCATGAATTAAACAGTGAACAATGACTTATCCAACAGGATTTTGTTATTATCCAAGAAGCAGTATAGTAATCTCTCCCTGTATACAGCATAGCAACAAATTGCCAGATCTTTTGACCAGATATCTAGGTCTTGATTTCTATTAAGCATAAATTCTATCATCTATTTCCTTCTTACTTTTTACCTATTGTTTTCTAAAGTTAATGTTATGCTATCTCTCCAGCAGGGTAGTCCGATTTTCCTTGCCACAGTTGTTCTGAATAATAGAAATCTCTGCCATTTATTTCTCGGAGATGTTATAGATGATTCTTATGGGAAATAGAAAAATCAACGGGGCCTTAGGAGGTGATATCCTGGGGTTAACATGAAGCTTGCTGTCAGTTCGATGGAGCTTTGTTTTGCAAGTGGCTGTTCTGTGCTTGACTTGGACGTGTACAATGTTGTCATAAAAGGTTTGAAATAAGAAGACTTCCAATTTCCAGAATGAACATCTCTCACCAGAAGAAGACAAGAAATAGCATGAGTGGACCTTATAAAAGGCAATTTAGAAAAATATAAACATAAACAGCAAAAAAAAGATTCAACCCTTTTGCCAGCAATATCCTTTATAGTCATTCAATACCAGTCACTTCTGAAAATTCTAAGTCATTTCTCACTCAAATGATTTTCTTTCTTCAGTGCTGATGGCCCAGAGACTTTTCTCTAGCTTTGATGGTACACAGAATTATTCCCCATTTTAACAGCCATGTAAGTTCTAAAAGCTCTCACAACCTTGGAGATCTCTACAAGTTATGTTGTCACAGGAGATTTCAGCATAGTAAAAAGCTAACGTTCCTGTTGTGATGACATCTCTTTTTCCAACCTCAACTTACTAGTAGCTACTGCTCACCTTTTTACTATTCAAAATTCAAGTTTGTATACATTGAGCAATTTAAATACCCAGATACCACTTAGAATGATTGAACTTAAATCACATGCTTTCTTGGAAATTAAGTTTGAATTCACTATTCAAAAATGATTTTCTGACTTTTATTGGGGGAAAAAAAGCAAATTACTTTCCTAAAATAAAAACTAAAATCTACCTATCCTCTATTTCCATCCAAGTTCCTGAATATAAATGCATTATAAAATTATATCACAGTATCCTGTCCACAGATTACCTTTCCACCTAGCTTTAGATCATCCATATTCTTGGAAACATTACTCTGTTTCTTTTCATTAAGCTATTAATGTAGAGTGTAAAAAACGGAGCCCTCAACACTGATTATTGTGGAACTCTATCTTTCACTGCCTGCCAACTTCAAAATACCCATTAATATTCTCTCTGTACTTCTTGTCAGCTAAACAATCTTCGCTATCCATACTAATTCATTACCCCTAACTTCATAAGTGTTTATCTTACTGATTAAGCTTTTGTGCAACATCTTATCAGATGCCTTTTGAAAATGTTGGTAGACTACATCCACTGGTTCCCCTCTATCTGCGATCTCAAGCTGAGAGGAAAGAAGCTTCATGCTCTACTGCAGCTGATGAGGCTCTATACCAATTTGTCCAACTATATGGTCAAGATTTCTTGTGGCCAATCTCCATATCCCACAGAACTGGACGCTGCATGCATTTCACATGCAGCATATTGCGATCACAAATATCTTTAACCGGCACTATGTAAGTACCTGATTAATGCAATTTCCTCTTGAAATGACACACATCATCCAAGATAGAGCCTTTGTGTTCAGACACCACAAAGCAAACAAAAAAACCAAATTTTCCAGCTATGGTGGCAGCCACTTTTTCCTTCAATTTTGCATTTGTGATTTGGAGAAGGATGGACTCTGAGCTATGCAGAGTAAGTCATAGGCTTGGCCAAGTAATCTAGGTAATTCCCCAAATACCTTCATGTTTCTTTCTTCCTTGCACTCTGTGGAAGTCATCAGTACTAAGCTTCCACACATTTCCACCCAACTTCTTCAATTAAGTTTTCATCTCCCATCATTACCCCCTAAGTCTTGGGCCTACAGTTTAGACATGGAAACAATCATGCTACATTGTCTCTGTCAAAGCCAGCTTGTGGTGACCATTGAGAATAGACTCTCATTTAGTAATCCATATCCTCCAATACTTTCTATCCCTTAGTGTTGAGTGGTCCTCATCACAATCATTGTCCATAGGACCATAACGTGTAGGAGCAGAA